CCTCATCACTTGAGAAGGTAGGTGATGCGGACGTCGTGGAAGACATTTTGTCCCGTAACGCTCGCCGTACTGTTGGGGGGGGAGAAGCGGTGGGGGGGGAGATGTTCATGTTGCTGCAGTTTGCAGTCTGACCGCTAGATGTCGCTAAAAGTTACACACTGTAGCTTTAAGATTTATTTTTTTTATATTTGACTTTGAAGTTTTTTTGGCATAATTATTTATTTTGACTTTTGTTTGTAGCACTTTGAGATAGTCGGCCTATAATAAATGCTCTAAAAGTATAAACTAGTATAACCATAGTTATTAATTAAATAATTATTCTTATAATTAGCTCCAACATCATGACTTAGAACCTCATCTTCCTTTTACGACAATTCTTCGTCTGCAAGTATCATACAAGATCCTTTCATTTCAATGGAATTTTTACCTCTTAAAATTTGTGCAGTAATCTTTTTAGCTCAATGGTAGCCCACCTAATGCATGTGCAAAAAGAAATAAAAAAGGAAAGGAAAAACGTTGCATTATTCATTAAGTATACCTTATGTTAAATATTTAAGGATCAAGACGTAGGTGCTCAGTTTCTTAGAAGATAAAAATGAACAATCAAAATAAAAGAATAAAATGCAAACATTGAAATATGAAGTCAATGACAAGCAAGAAACCTGTTGAACTAAGAGTTTCAATTTTGTCTTGCAATAGTAATTATATCTCTAAAAAGGATTTGTTTACTCATGTGTAAACCAGCAAAATCCCTTTAATACCTTAGAGCACATCCTAATAAAAAGGTTTTCTTAAGCTAATTAAGACCAGTTACAATCTAAAGCTCATTAATAGAAAAGGTCAATTTTTAACACAAATGCTTTAAATGTAAACAATGCAACCGAGTGAATGATTTTGTCATGCTACATTTATACACATTTTACGATGACATGAAATGCTGAGAGCTACTAAAAATGTCAAATCTGGGACCAAAACAACACAATGAGGTAAAATGCCAAGACTAATCCATTTGATGTGATTGAGCAGCTTTTTAACCATAATCTTTTCTTGCATTTTGAAAAGAAAAAAATAAGCATGTCACCGTACTGTATCCTCCCTTTTTTGTCTGTTTGATTTATGACTGTTGTGCTTTTTTGGTGTCTCCAAAAATAGAACAATTTCCCCAAGACCCCTCATTAGCAGTCCCCCCTTCGATAACACTGTTGCCTTCCATTTGCTCAAATAGAAAGGGACAGCTGTTCACAGCCTTGGGGAAATCTTTTTTTCACTCCCTATTACTGGTGAAAGTATGAGCTACATGCCTAAAATGTAAAGTATTTTTTTTGTCTGTGTGTGTAGCCTATGGAGCAGAGGATATACCATATGTGGGATCATCCTGTCAGCTCAGCCTCAATCTCAAGAGATTATGTCAAGATGCTGCTGGAGAAACACAACAAGAATAAGGTAACAGTAGAGTTTCCAACAGAGGCTGCATATATTTCCTGCAGTAAAGAAACCTAGAAAATAAATAATACTGATATATCAGGGGTATATAGCTTCTAAAGACTAAACTTTCAGCCAGCTTTATCTGTAAGATGAGTTATTATGACTTCTCTCAGGTGTTGCTATAGAGAAGTCTTAATGTGTACCTTACAAAACAGATATATTTTACTTTTATAAAATATTTCTCCCCCTCAGGGATTTGCATTCACTTGGAGAGACAAACCTGGCTTCAAACCAGAGTTTCTGCCTCTAACCTATCTGGCTAAAATGCTCTCAGATATCGAGTCACAAGGTAAAGTATACCTGTATATCCTGCCGGAAAGGTCTTTAAAGCATTTTTCAAAACAGAGGAGCAGGAAGTTAAGGTGTTCTTTTCTTGAACAGCTCTGAACCCTTTCGAGGAGAATGAAAATGTGGACGCCAGGTTTGTGGAGGACTCTGCTCTGATGCAGACGCTGATCCAGCTGGGCTTCCAGGAAAAATGAAGCTGCTGGAAGGGCGATGAAGGACGAGAGGCGGGTGGAGAGAGAGAAAAATAGATGAAGAGAAAAATCAGTTTAAGGGAGAGTAAATGTCTAACTGGGCCTTGAAGGCATGAAATGGATTGATGTTGGAAAATGAGAGTCGAGTGGGGAAGTCGTAAACAGGTTCTCATGGTTTGATGAAAAATTATTATGGGAAAAGGGATTTTAGGAAGAATCGTTGTGCTTTTCAGGAAAAAAAAAATTTGAAACTAGCAAATGAAGATGCATCTCAATAATTTAGAATATCACTGCAAACATAATTTATTTCAGTAATTCCCTTTAAAAAGTAAAACTCATTATATAGATTGATTACACATACACACTGACATTTCAACCATTTATTTCAATTAATTTTAATGAGTATGGCTCACAGTGTGTGAAATACGGGTTCTGTTTTTTTTTTTATAAAGTGAGCTTTATAAAATCTGCAGGCTAAAATTTTCCTCCAACACCAAACACCTGGCCTACAGGATCACTGGAAAGACTGTTTTCTGGACAAAGGTCATGTTAGCAGTCACTGACATGTCCACAAGAAGGGTATTCCAAAAAGAAGCTCGTTGTCTTCAAGCATATTAATGGAAAATTAAGTGGAAGGAAAAAAATACAGAAAAAAATGTGCAAAGGGGACTTTAATACCCTTTTTTTGAAGGCAGTTTTAAAACAAATTAGCCATTTTATTAATAAAAGATGGTTTATAATGTCCACAGTCAAGTGTTATATACTCTAGAGGACATCAAACTCCAACTGCTGACATAATTAAGAATAACAGAAATCAATTGAGCTTTATTGTACCGTATTTTCCGGATTATAAGTCACAGTTTTTTTCATAGTTTGGACTGGGGTGCGACTTATACTCTTGAGGGAGTTATTCGTGAAATTATTAAAACATTATTATATAATTTAACATTATTTTCACACCAAAACGCAAGAGGGCGCTCTAGGCATGTTTTGATAATTTCAACATTGCCGTTAACTTATGAAAACAACTGAGAAAGGCTTAACAAAAATGGCACTTAAAAGAAAATCCTATCCTGCAAATTACAAGCTGCAAGTAGAAAAATATGCGGCCAAAAACGGTAATCGAGCCGCAAAAAGAAAATTTGGAGTTGGTGGAGTTGTTTAAAAGGGACACAGACGATAAAGTTAGCTTACTGTACAATTATTAAGCCGGTTGTTGCCTCTATTCTATTTTTATTTTAAATTCCCTTTCAAAATGACATGTCTGTTCTGGGTGTTGGATTTAATCAAATAAATTTCCCCCTAAAATGCGACCTATGCATTTTGATTGTTGCGACATGTAATCCGGAGCGATTTATAATCCAGAAAATACGGTAGATGAATCTATATAAAATGTGAGTTTTTTGTTTTATTAGAATTGATTAGAATGTGATAATTTAAATTAAAACAATTTCAATCAAATCCACAATATTGTTTTTTTAACTTTAATTGTATTCTCCTTCATTGAGATTCACTTGTACAGTTAGGTATATGAAACATAACTTTAAAAGGGAAGAAAAAGAACCTTAAAAGTCAAAAATCTTAGACAGATTTTCATATGAAGTTGGTACATCTAGCTGCTACATTTCCTCTTCAAACTGTCCAGCAATTTATGAATGGGACAGTTGGAAATATTGCTTAGAGTATTTATAAATCAAGCATGCTTTTTGCCCCCACCTCCTGTTTTTCCTGTAATGCTCCTGCAGCCCATCAGCTTGATTACCTGCCGAAAAAGGCTTTACAGACAGACAGGCCCGATACGGTCTGCTGTGCATTAAATCTTGATTTCGACACCGATTTGTACAGGAGTCTTGCAGGCAGAATGTGTAAACATGAAAAGCAGAGATTCAGAGTTGCACAAGGTAACTGTGCCTAAATTAGAGCAGGGTTAATTGTGAGCCAGCAGCATCTGGTTCATGTAATGAACTCAGTCATGAGGGAGCTGTAACTGTAAATGCTTGTTTTGTTGTATTTTTGGGTAGTGTGTTTCCAATCTTGTTTAAGCACTTGAGCTTTGATTACTCGCCAGTTTCTTGAAATAAGGGATTTCCTAATCAGGGTTTTATTTTAAGACTTTTTAAGCTTAGTAAACTAAAGTGTAAATTAGACATTTAAAAGATATCTTTTTTTCTCCAGAGAAAAAGATAATATTTCTTTGGTTCCTGTTGATTGTTTTTTTTTTTTTTTTGAGAATTGTGAAACAAAAGAAAAAATATTTTATAGTGATAATGTTTTATATACAGCTACCATGGCCAAGGATGCCATTAATGTTTGACTTTGAATGAATAATGGAAGCCATATTTTTCCAGGGATAAATAAAAGTTAATTTTTATTTTTTATTTTAAAAGCAAGAACTGTTGAAGTTGTTTGTTTTCTGAAATCCTATGAGGTTACAATATATATATATATATATATATATATATATATATATATATATATATATATATATATATATATAAAATGGCAAACCAAACGGACATTGTGGTGGTAGACAAAAAGCAAAGGAAAGTCATTGTGGTTGACATAGCAACACCAAGTGACTGCAACTTCAGGAAAAAGGAACTTGAAAGAGAAATACTAGGGGCTCAGAGAAGAGCTGGAGAAAGCCTGGAAGGTCAAGGCATCAGTGTTAACCGTGGCCATTGGGGCACTCGGGGCAGTGACCGCCAAACTTTAAGAGTGGTTACAGCAGCTCCCAGGAAATACATCAGACATCTCGTTCCAGAAGAGTGCAGTTCTAGGAACAGCACAGATACTGTGCAGAACCCTCAAACTCCCAGGCCATACCCGAGCTTGGAGGAAAAAGGGGGGATAGCATGCCCATTTCTCCTTATGCATGCTCTGTTTAAAAGTTGCTGTTATTATAGGTCATACAAGCTTACTGTGCCTGAAAATCCGCCCAAACCCCTAGATCCCTCAATCACTATAGAGAGCGAAGACTATATAATGGACTTTATAATGAAGTTAGCTGTCTGTTCGTACAGATTATCACAACTTTTTGCTCCCAGTTGGTCCCACATCTCCTCCTCAAATGTGCAGTGTCTGTGCCATCTTTGTTATAAGTCACTGCTGTCGTGTAGCGACAACGGGCCGCTGTGATAGCAAATCCCATAATGCTTTGCAAGGAGAGCTCTCCGTGCAAAGTATGCCTTTTTTCTTCGTATATACTTCGTAGATACTTTTTCGCTTACAATCCTCGGCCGTTTTCAAAGAACCTCGGTGAAAAAGGTGAGCTTCAATGACTGACTGAAACCGTAGCCCAACACATATATACGCCTGAAAAGTGTGCATGCACAAAAAAAGATGGGGACGAGCATGTAGGACGGCCTTACCTAAACATATCACCAGAATGACTAACAATTAGGAGGACCACTTATTTTGATGATCCACCCAGAAATGAAAGATCGTTACCTTTAACCTTTTCTTTCTATAGCCAACAACACCCATCTGGCCCATTGCAGGTAACTGACCTCTTTTCTAGGCAGAAGAGGTACATTTGAATCCCTTCACTTGGAACTGGCTTCAAAGAATAGTCTACAACCATTCAATTGGATTGTAAAAGCCTAACTATCCATCCTAAAGCCATTTGTGAGTCATTGCCCTGTTAAAACACAGAATTATCTCTAAATCTGATCCAAACTGTCAACCTGAATAGACAGGAAATGGCTATAAATTGGAAGATGCTGAACTGTAATGTCAGTTAATTGAGTTTTCCATAAATTAGTCAGATGGCACCAAACAAGAGCAGACACCTTCAAACCCGATTGGACTTTGTAGACGACTGATTAATGCCTCCTCCAGAAAAGCTTTATAGGAAGACAAACAGAAATATATATATATATATTTGGGCTCAGTGACAGGAAATATGATCATTGAATAAAGTGAAGTAAAAATGACATTAAATAGAAACAAACAGAAGTAAAATAGGCTGACGCATACAACTATCAAGCTTGGGGGTTCCAGCATTGTGCTAAGCAGAAGTGGATAATCCAGGTCCATAAAATAAAATCCCCTACCCTGGTTAGTTTGAGTCATCCGCATTTCCAGTTCCTTAACACTGACAGGAACTAGTCTCCTGGTTAAGCGAAAAGGGATGAAGAAAAACAGTTGTGTTCGATTGTGCTGCCATTGTTTGTGTGTTTCACAAACTGGAGGGATTCCCTAAAAAGTTAAACCTAGAATCTTAAATGTATGACAATTTATTGTTCCAAAAGGATAAGGGTCCTGAACACACATTAGTGGAAACACAGAAGTCAACAAAGACATGAATAAGTGAGGATAATAACTTCACTGGCCTGCAAAGACTCCTCGACTTTACCCAAAAGAGAAAAAAATGATGTCTTTAAAAGATTGGTAGCAATTCCCATAAACACACACCTCAACCTCGTGGAACGTCTTCCCAGAAGGGCTGAAGCTGGTAAAGATTAAAAGTGAGGGCAGACTTCCACTGAAGTATGAAAATATTTTACATGATAAGAAATGTTTGAAAGGTTAAGACAGAGCTTTTCTACACACATGTATGACATTGTAAATTAAACCCATACATCTTCTGGATATTTTTTTTACTTTCTGTAAACACGAGTTCCCCCCCCCCCCCACACACACCTAATGGCCTCCCCCACACTCTGTTATGTGTTCTGTGTTATGTAGCAGCCTAACAGTCTGGGGCCAAGTTAATCTGACAGCTTCCAGCATGAGTCTTCAATGGATGATCACGCACACACATCTTGTCTCCCGAGTTTTTTCTTAGGAAGTTGACTCATGCTGCGAGCAGCACTAGTCAGGGTTAGCGTGCTGCACCCCAGCTGTTTCAGGCGTTTCCTGCTTTTCTTTCCACACACTCAATTAACTTTCATCAGCTACCAAAGACCTCCACTCATTAATTTGTGGAATTGCTGGCTTTACCAGAAATTTGTCAGATACTTAATATTTCTGCTGAAAAGTGTCCAACTTTGAACCTCACAATTTACAGCCTTCCTTTTCATCCTCTTTTTTTAAACTTTGAATCTCCTCTGCTGCCTTCCCAGATGCTTCATCCCCTTTATTTAAATTCTCCTCTCTTTATCATCCTTCATGCTCTTTCATTGCCTCCCCCTCCTCTCTAGATTGATCATATTTAAGCGTTATGCAGGGCTATCCTGATTCTAGTGCAAAGCTTAAACCCATTGCAATATTTTCAGAATTACTACCCTGAAGGGGGAAACAACAAAAATGAAGTATGTGGAAGGATACTCTAAGAAATAGATTTGATCTGATAGGGAAAGGAGGTCTGAGCGGCACTGACGTGTTGCTAGGCAGTGCAGTGATTATGAAATCATACTGGGGATCATTATGTAACAGCACACTCATGTTTCCCCTGAACTCTTTGTCATCCTGTCACTGACAGCGCTGTAAGTAAAGATTAAATACTGCTAGTAAATAAATGAAAACAAAGCAACTGTAACCAGATTCAGAAAGTGATTTAAACATTGCAGATTTTTATTTCTTTTCCAGCATACGAGTAGAGATGCCTTCTAAATCTCCCAGGGTCTGATTGTTGGATTGCGGTAATGCCTCATATAGGCCCCCTTTGGGCAGGGTTTGATGGGTGGAAAGCGTCCGAAGGGTTTGGGCAGACCGAGCAGGTCGTTCTCAGGAATGTACGCGTTGGGTCTGGCTTCTGCCGTGGTGTAAACTCCATTTGGCAGCAATCTCCACTTACTTTCTTCAGCAAGCTGTATACACAGAAAAAGCCACACCCCAGAGAGAGACTTAATATTTAATTTAAGATTGCATGACCATGAATTAAATATCTAAATCAAAACTTTCATGAAACATAATCAAGGAAATGAAAAAAGAAAAAAAAAAAAAAGCAAAAAAAGTCAATTTTTTAATGAATCTTCACAAACAGCTGAGTGCTTGAGCTGAAAATAATGAGGCTGATTACAGTTACAGATAACAGGGAAGTTTTAGAGGAAGCAGCCAAAGACGTTCTTGGCCAGCAACCTGAACAGCTTCTCTCTCCAGAAAACTTATTCAAATGAGATTTACTGCAAGACAAGCCAGCTGGATTAATTGGTAAATTCAACTAGCAGAAACAAATAATTTACGGTGCTCCTGGCTCTTTGGTCTGGTCTGCAACCGATGTAGACACATCTGGACCAAACTGTGTAGGACCTGTAACTGTTTATTAGCACTCCAACTAAAAACTGCCAGTAAGAGGGAAACCTCTGGCCTGATGCAGTAGATATTTGGCTGTGGTTATCAGAATTTAGAGATTTAGGAAGTAGTTACTCTTTATTCAAATAGATTATAAGAATTTTCCTTTACAAATATAGATGGCAACAAGATAAGTTGTGATAAATCAGCTAGAAAACCGAGACAACCAAGCACTGCAACATACACAGCAAACATTTTTAAATGATTACCTGCTGACTGAGCCAGTTAAATGCAGACATCTAAAGGATCTTTAAATAGTGCATTTGTACACACAAGGGATTTAGATTTAGCTTTTACTGTCCTTAAGGTAATAGCTTTAACACTCTGTGTGCAGGATTTGAGAGATCTGCAGAGACTTTAGCTTCAATTTTGTGAATTTAGACCTAAACAAGGCGGCGGTGGGAAGGTCAGGCCTGTTGATCCTTTCTCCAGAATTTGATCCTCACATCATATTATTTGTTGCAGTTTTGACATTTCCTGTTTGGTGGACGAAACAAATGAGAAAGTGATGCACAAACACTGGGCTGCCTGAATAAAGAGAGTATAGAAACTGAACAGCAGCTCCTGTGAAATGTGGTCGTCCATGAGCTGCCACAGGAATTACAATCTGTAACGTGTCTACCACCTTTTTATGGAGCAATCACAGCTCCATAAAAAGTGGGTCCATGAAGCCAGACAGATTGAAAGTTTTAACATATTAAGGTTGGTTAGAGGAGTTTGTATGGGAAGGTGATCTCCACTGTTTTGGGCTGGTTAAGCTCTAGATGGTTCTCAACACCCCAATGGGACAGGCGATTCTCTTCCTTTAATAGTAATCAGTTTCCCAAGCTCAGACCAATAACAGCAGTAACATCTACAAACCCCAGGAGTTGATTGGGTTGAAGCTTTTGATCCAGAAACAGATCCTGGGCACTCACTAAAGGTGAGAGAAAAAGCCCTAAATTTAAAGAAAGTATGGTGAATAATTGAAATGGGAAATAAAAATGTATTTGTTTTTTTTTTTTTTACAAACTTTCTAGATTCTGCTCACCAAATGTTTTGTGTGTGCACTGAATATGTGCCTGGGAATCACTTCATTAATTTCCAACTGCCAACAGTTCATACTGTATATGAAACATTAACATGGAGCTGCTCCCAAATCAATCCTATTTAATGATAAAAATCTGATGTGTTTATTATAGAAAAATAGAAGAAGATATAGTTCTTCAGTTTATTTTAATTGTGGCAGAAAAAGTTGCTTCCGACTTTAATGATGCCAGTAGAAAGGTCCACATAGCGGAGAAAGTGCAGACAAATCCAATGCAGGTGATGGATTACTGTCTATGTTGGATCCCAGCTGAGCAAGAGGAAGAAATCCACTTCGATTGTCCTTTTCTTGTGTCACTTCCTTTGATTTTCCAGCCCACAACAGCAGGCAAATAAACTGCTGTTAAATGTCACTGAACAGGTGCTTTAACAAAGCAAAGCTGTAAAACGCATGGAAATGATCCAAACAAGTTTTATATCATTCTAAATTTTTCGCCTTATGCTGGTAATAAATTTGTATTCTTTTGGAAGGGGTGGGGGGGTTGTTTTTGACTAGCAGCAGGAAGCAGGAGGCAGCTGGACAGCTTTGATACGCATGTGATCCTTTTATATGTACCCCTTCTTTTAGCTCTCTGGTTTTCTGCTGGTGGCATTCATTTTTATTGAAATATACCATAACTTCCCATCTCAGCAGAATCCCAATAGATACCCTACACTGCATGTGAAAAAAAAGCCTGCTCTTTCTTGCCTTGCAGTGTGCCTTTGAATTTCCAAAGGTGATTGTTTACCTTCTTTTCTTCCTTTTCCCTCTGCCTCCTCTTTTTGTCTCTCAGCATCCTCCTATACCCCTCCTCTATGTCGAGATATGGTGGCATTTCCTGACCAGCCTCCCACTGGCACTTGTCCATCTGGAAAAAACAACAAAAAAAAGAGCAGGGGGAGAAGCATTGACTTTGCTTTGCTTTCAGGCTCGATTCAGCTTTTGGCTAAAGCCATAAACAGATGGCTGCCTCAGTATCAGAATGTGGGTAACTTCACAGCTCTCCATCTTTTACCTCAGGGTTCAAGCGGTGTGCTGCAGGCATGCATCAGCCTGAGCAATTCTGCGGGGTATTAACACAAATCTTTTAAAATATTTACAGCGCATGTAGGGAATCCACAAATTTTTACTTGCTGAAATATTTATAAGGGCAGAAAGCAAACACTGCTTGAATTTCTCCGTTTCATTCTAGGGCAATGATTTGAATGTTCTTTTACCTTCTCCTAAAATGTATTAACCTGAAGTCAACATACGATGTTTCTATAAAAGAATGAACTAATAGTGTGAACATGCTGAAGTGATATTTGGAACATGAAACCTAAATATATGGCTTGCAGGATTACAAATGAATCTTTTAATGACAGGCATCATATTAATTTAAATGGTCATTATGTAAAAAAAGCTAGAGATAATGGAAGCACAGGAATGTTTAGGTTGCACATCTGTACACATGAGCAGAATGTGGAGCATGTAAGCAACTGGGACCTCATCCGACCTGCAGACTCCTCTCTTTGACCTTTACTGTTTGAACAAAGCGGCCACCTGCTTTCAGCTGCAGGGTCAAGCAGGAAAAAAAATAATTCATCCTTGTTAAGAGATTCTCATTGAGACTCAAGTCCAATGAAAAAATAAAAGCACTCTCAGCTATCAGACAAACTGCTAGATGTCATATGCACATGATAATCTGACATTGAAAGACATCAAAATAATTTGTCATTCTGGTCAGATTGGAAAGGAAGATAATTGCAGTGCCCTGCAAATATTTTACCTTAGGTCAAAGAGAAAAAAGCTCCCTTAAATTGAATAGGGAGCATTTATAAATAAACAACCCAAGTCTCCATTGGATTTTCTCTAGCATTTCCATGTTTTTATTTGTATCCCTGTCCCGAAGACGCCCTGCAGCACAACTCTTCCGTTACAGTGTTTGTTGTTGGAATCTGTGAGTGAAATCTGTTTATTTTATGCCTTAGGATTTTGGTCTCATACGATTGGATTAAATTGCTACATTTTCTTTCTCAATTTTAGTAGGGAATGCAATTTTAATTTTTGTCTTGTCATTCTGTTAAAACAGAAAATGTTTTGAGTGCACAACTGATAGCTGCGCTATAAAAATATTCTCCCACTTAGGCTGTGGTTCTCTGCAGCTTCCTTTTTCCATGTTGGAATGATAAAAGGGACATTTTATTTTAAAAAAAAAAGTTTAGGATTGATTATATTACTGTCAAGATCAGCTTTGGCCCTTTGTCCAAATGATGTGATCAATAATGTTCTATAACACACCTCTATGGCTTTAAAATAAGAGCTGCATGTAAGCTGAGATAAAAATCATACAATTGCAAAACTTCAACTCCCTTATTAATTAGTTATGTTACATCCAAGGCAATGGATTGGACGGGATTTAATTTGAGAGTTTCAAAATAAAAGGAATTAAGCATTGAGTTGCATTGCTCATCACATAAAATCCCTTATATCATAAAGTTTGAGGTTGTAATATAACAAAACTCTACAAAAGGGTGAAACCAAGCTGCCTTTGGCTTCTCCCTCTACATTTATATCTTTCCAATTTTCTCCATACATGCACTAAGTCCATAATCTTCCACTATACTTTCCCACAAGACTTCCAATAAAGTTTTGCTAATTTTGCAAATTCCATTTCCATCCCATCCATCCATTTTTTGTCACGCTTATTCCAAGTGGGGTAGTGAGGTGGCTGGTGCCAAGCTGATCTCAAGCTGTCTAAGGGCAAGAGACGGGGTACACCCTTGACAAGTCACCAGGCAATCGCAGAGCAACACAGAGACAAACAACTATTCACACACATAAGGAGAATTAAGAGAAACCAATTAACCCAATTAACAGTCATGTTTTTGGACTATGGGAGGAAGTCGGGGTACTTGGAGAGAACCCATGCATGCTCAGAGAGAACATGCAAACTCCATGCAGAAAGACCCCGGGCCGGGAATCCAACCCGGAACCTTCTTTCTGCAAGGCAGCAGTGCTCAGATTTTTACTTCATCACTCACATTATCTGTAGGTTCCTCCAAATTATACATGTAAAAAAAAACAAAAAAAAAAAAACATGTGTGCTACTGAGTGCTACCTCACTCATGTTGGCTTGGATGATAACTTCATATTAAACTTGAAGCTTAAAAGTGGCTGTCAAAAAGTAAAAAAAAAAAAAAGGATTCTATGCAGCCCACATGCATTTTTTATGTGAATGCTTTTGAGGAGTCAGTGACAGGAATGAAAAATACTGAAAGGCCAAAAGACAGATCAGAGATGAGCAGCAATTCTCCTAAAAATCGCCCTGTAATTATGACTGCAGACCATTCTATGGCACTCTAGAAATTTAAAATAAACTGTTTAAAAGAGTTCCATTAAAATCTGTTTACTTTCTTTGCCACAGAGAGACTGGGGAGCCTGCAGCTCTCCGCCTGCTCCCCTGGTGGCTCTGACAGCTGGGTCACCTGCTCCACCAGGAGTCCTTTTTCCAGCAGCTGACTCTCACGCTCCGCCACATTCACCTCCAGCTTCCGAACACAGAAGCAAATTAGCTGCCCGATTGCAATCTTGCTTTTAAAGTTCATAAGTAACGTTATAAATAAAAAAATTTGCATGTACCTCGTCCATTTTCTCCTCCAGTTCTGAAGTTAGCAGGTTCTCAACCTTTGACTCCCTGAATTCAAGGGTGCAATTCTCATTTTTCAGCATCCATTTTCTGGCTTCTGACAACTAAAGGATGCAGAAAATACAGTAGGTGTTAGAGGCAAAAAGACACAGGAGTTAAAATTTTTATGTTTATTGCTCTTTAAGGGCAGTAAAAGTCTAGTTTCTCCATCAGCTCAGTGCTTCACCCTGCAGAAATTGAAGATACTTATTTCCTGGGATTAAAGTGATAACAAAACTCAACACCTTTTTTGCTGAATGTGGTGTGCGGATGGAAGCCCCTTCCTACTAGGTGAATAGTCTCTGGGAAAGAGCGATAAGAGAAACCAAATTTCAAAAAGCCTTGAGATCCCTCAAAGGGATTAAGAATTTACCATCTTGACATGCCTTTAACAGAGCAGAAAAGGAAGGAGAAGTGTCTATCAGTAAAAAAAAAAATATATATAATAATAATGTCAAAAATCCATACATTTAAAGACTGTTATTTATTTTTTTCCTTTTCAGTTCTTGAAAACACATTTTTTTTAAATGGAATGTCAGTAATTACAAATATAAGCAAATAAAAATGAGACAAATACCCATTAGTTTAGCATTATTATGAATATGTGCTAAAGAATAAATTAAAAGGGTGTGTAAAACGTTTGTTGCAAGGCAAATTTATTTTCCTACAGTCTTATCAGGAGCTGGAAACATTGGCAGATTTCAATCTTTTCTACACATTTCCCAAGATTGTCAAGAAATTCTGATGAAATCTCTTGGAAAATGAGTCCAAAATAAATAAAAAAAACCTGCCAAATGAAGACTGGACTGTTTAGAATGACGCTCCCAGATGAAACTTTTAACCTCAAAGTGCTTTAGTCTGGCAGCAAGTTAGAAAGCGAGATGGAGGAGGTGAAAAAATAATGACATGACCAAAAGGTCAACATTGACTTTAGGAAACAGAGGTAAGAAAAATATGATTAAAAATCAACATTGAGATATTACATATCCATTAAACCATACAAATGTATTCTACAGCATAACAGATGCATTACACAAGAGACTTTAACAGTATCTTATCTGTGATAATCTGCAGAAGCAGCTTGTCGGAAATATTATATCAGTCAATCACATGCCAGTAACTGGATCTATGGTGGAATAGGGATAACTTTCAAGAATCAGAAGGAGTAAGAAAAAGGCTTCAAACATGCCATGGCTGTTGTTGCAATATGGGCAGGTTTAAGTTTTCATTTTTAATTTAATTCCTGTGATTAATGTAAATTTGGACAATAACCCTTCTGATGTCTGAGGATCTCATACAGATTAGTTCAAATGGTGACAGGAAAGCAGCAACCCTGAACCTACCTATAACTTATGGTTAGAGAAAGTCTGTTGACTCCCAATATGGGAAGAAGCAAAGACAATTTCTCCTTAAATTTGTTTTTCAAATTCTTGGTTGTCATGGTTACAAGGGTCACTAAGGATACAACTTTTAGATAAGTTACCAATGTCTGCATTTCTTTTTCTTTTCAGTGACATATGGATGAATTTGAAGAAACTAATTGTCACCTTCTCTTCAATTACTACACAATTAAATCGCAGAGATACCACTGACATCTGGCTGCAGGGCAGTTGTTAAATATTAATACAGATTCCTCACTGCTTGCACTTTTTAATGCATCCACTCATTTCTCTGCTCCCGCAGTTATTTTTTCACCATCAGTGTTACATTTTGACAACTGCTTTGGATTTCTTTTTATACCATGTTCACCTTCTAAATTAGTTTTCCTATGAAAATAATCTGCATAGATAAAGTGATGACAAGGCTCTAAAAGGATGCCGTTAGACTGTGGTACTAACTTGCAGACTTAGGCCTAATGTGCACCATGTGAGTGACCAGGATCTCAGCTGACCTGCAAGACTTTTTCCTTGATTTGTTGCTGCTCAGACAAAGCAACCGCCTCCTTCATGGAGAACACTGCAGAAGCAGCCATCAAGGAAAGGTTGATGTTAATCATGTTTGTGCGGGTTTCATTCAGCTGGAAGAGGGAAGGAAAAAAAAAAAGCACACATGCAGGGAAGAAGGCAAGCATTAGATTCCTCATGCACTTCATGACACCAGCAGAGACAGGTTATAAAAACAGTTTGCTTTATACTGTTGTTAAAGTAAACGCATGGCATTTATAGTGCCCTGCAAAACTATTCACACCCCTCCACATATGTAACATTTGGATTTTAAGCAACAAACCCACACAACGTAGAGGACAGCTGGAGTGGAATTAAAGGATACATGCTTTTCGAAGCATTTTAAAAGTACACATAGTAATAAGCCGTTTCCTATTTGCATTTAGGTCCTTTTGGATCAACATTATTAAACTAGCTTTTGATTAAAGTTAGTGCTACAAGTCAAGTGCTACGAACAGGTTTGCAGTTCAACAGACATGCTTTTAACCAATCTTTTTTCAATAAAGTTCATAAATGATTGACAGAGATGATCTGTTAATATCCACTTTAATTATTTTAAGGATTCTCAATTGAATTACGGCCAATTATCCATCTATCTATCCATGCATTTATCTATTAACCCTTAAAGGGACGGCACAGTAGATCTAAAACCCAGCTGACACACCACCATACTATAAACATTTATATTTTTCAACATAAATCCTTCCTTTGTAGCTCTACTAGTATGTTTGTTGTTATTCTGCTGGAAGTGTAACCTGACTTTCCCGCTGGATTACCTTGGATCTTTCCCAGCATCAAGTTTTGGTCTCACATGATCCAATAAATGTTCCACACATCACACTTTTTCCAAAAGAACCAGTCATTGCAAAACTATAAATTGTTCTCCTTTCAACAGAATTGATTGCAAGCACATTTTAAGACAATTAAAACATGCACCTTTATTTCCAATCCACTATTATGCACCAAGGTGTACGGTCTATCACATACAATCCCATTGAAAGCAGTCAAACTAGCATTGTGAGAAAACTTTGCTTTTGCAACATCATTTGATTGAAAAGTAAATTGTTGAGAAAGACGTAGAAGTAACTTTCTCACATTTTTTGTAGGTTCATTTCTCTTACAAATCATACTTTAAAGAAAAAAAAAGAAAAAAGAAACGAAAAACAGAATGGTACTGCAGTCGCTCCAGTCATGTTGGCTCAGATGATGACAGCTTAATGATAAACTTGAAGCTTCAAAGTGGCTGTCAGAAACTAAAAAAGGGATGTCATGTGGACCACATCCATCTTTTATGTCTATGCTTTGAAAGAGACGGTCACAGGGATGAAAAATACTAATAGAGCAAAACTCAGATCAGAGACGAGCTGCAATTCTCTTAAAATTCGCCTCGAAAACTGGGACTGCTTTGAATTTAAAATGTTCTTAGTCTCAATTTGTTTTAATTTTGTTTAAATCTGTTTATATGAGATCTATTAACATCTTCCAGTGGATCCCGGCTACCTTCTTTGCCACAGAGAGACTGTGGAGCCTGCAGCTCTCCGCCTGCTCCCTCAGTGACTTTGACAGCTGGGTCACTTGCTCCACCAGGAGTTCTTTTTCCAGCAGCTGACTCTCACGCTTCGCCAAATTCACCTCCAGCTTCAAATGCACAAGAACACAAAAAGAAATTAACCACACGACTGCAGCCTTGCTTTTAAATTTCATGAGTCAAGTTATGCATGTACCTGCTTCATTTTCTTGACTAGTTCTGAAGTTGGCAGATCTTCGCCCTTTAGCTCCCTGTACTCAAGGGTGCAATTCACACTTTTCAGCGTCTTTTTTCTGGCTTCTGACAGCTAAAGGATATATATATATAAAATAGGTGTTAAAGTAAAAAAGAAACAAGCATGAACATTTCTTTATTTTTATCTGTTTAAGGGCAGCAAACGTCTATTTTTTCCAGAGCCGAGTGCTTCACTGTGGAGAAAGTGGAGATGTGTGTTGCTCTGGGATTAAAAAGTTACCAAAATTCAACACTTGTCTTTGCCAAATGAAGTGTAGGGAGGGGAGCTTCCTCCCACCAGGTGACAAGTCTCTGGGAAAGAGCGATAAGAGAAACCAAAGTTAAAACAGCTATGAGATCCCTCAAAGGGATTACTTTTTTTTTGTTTCCTGACATCCCTTAAGACAGCAAAAATGAAAGGAGGAAGCAAGTCTAAGTGAGAAAGCTCAAGGAAGATGAGTCAAAAGAGCTAGAGAGAGAAAGCGGAGAGGGGCAGGGTGGACGTTTTAGATTCAGGCCCTCAGCTGACACTCTTCTCCCGAAAGTGCTGCAGTCAGTCTGAGAGTGAGGGAGGGAGATGGAGGAGGTGAAAATCGCTGACATCACTGAAAGTTTAGCTGTCTAAATCAACTACAGGAAATCGAGGCGTAAAAAGCAGCAGATGCCAGGAGTCACAGCAGTGTCAACATTGCAACATTATTTTATTTAATTACTTACAACAAACACTTCACTCTAAAGCCTTTCTGTTTGTTTCTAATTGGGAATGGAACCAATCCATGAAGTCTGATGATTCAAACTTGATTTAATTGTGTTGCTACAGACCTTGCTTTATCTGAATTAAGCCTTAGTGTTTAAGTTTCAACCAAATATTCATTAAATAAAATAAAACCTTAACTCTGGCCACTTTATTAGCCATCTTTAGTGACATAGTAACTGCAGCTGAGTTCATCACATCAAAACCTGATGCTGATTTTGAAGTCAAACATTTTCCCTTTTTCAGTAGATACCCAATTAATTTAAAACACATAAATTTCAGTGAAAGTGTAAAGTTTATAGAAAAGGCAGAGTGGTTTTAGAAGTTAAAAAGACAATCAAACACAGTAAATACACCCACTAGAGCCAATATATGCAGAATAACATCTCTTAATGTACAAAGTGGGGAATTTGGAACAGATGGGCTAAAGAAGCAAAAGACCACACCAGATCTTCTGCTTCGAGACTCCCACAACCAAAGCTAAACAGCATTGGTAGCATCTGAATAGCTGATTATCTATACTTAAAAATAGATATCTGGTTTAGACAGAAACGGAGTACAGACTGCTGAATGACATCCAGCTTCTGCATGTTTACACAGCCAAGGATGGAAGCTATGGAGGAAAATCTAAAGGAAAAAAAGACCAACATTGATAGGATTTCTTCCCAATTTTGTTGAAACAGGAGTAGCTCAGAGTTATGGAATCTATAAACCAAAAGCTGTAATGCATACACAATGTTTGGTCCATCTTTAAAATATATCGATTGAGCAAAATACAGTATCTGTGGAAGTAGTAAACAAGATTTCCACACCTTTTATGTTGCCTTATACCAGCAAAATCAACTGATGACCCAATTTTATATTAGAAACAAGAAGAAAGAATTGAGCTCTCCTTCCTTTCAAACTGAATCAGATACATAATTTAACCAGTGGCTATATCACATCCAAACTGTTAATTTAAATTCACATGGCCTGACTACATCCAAATAAAGGTATTATATAAAAACTTGTATAGGAATCTGAGGTTATCAAGGACCTAATTACAGCAGTAGAAAGTATGTGTATATATATATATATATATATATATATATATATATATATATATGACAGAAAATTCTTGACACAACAGAAAAACTGAAAATATCTAAGAGAATTAGAGGAAGGGAAAAAGGCAAAAGCATGAAAAAGAGATCAGTCAGATATGAGACAATGAACAACAGGCTGCCTTTCTGCTTAGCAGTGAAGCATTTTAAATCAGTGTAGATTAAGTGAATATTCACTGGTCTTAATAACTTGCAAAAAAAAAAAAAAAGCTGCAGAGCAGAAGAGGTTTACAATCAAGAGACAGAAAAACACAAAATACGTCAACAGGCAGGCAGTGCAAGATAAGGTTGAATAAAAGTCAAATGTATGAAGGGTAACATTCAGAAGAGCAGTGCAGGTGAAAATCCATGTAAAAGGGCTATCTGCAGTTTACGCTGAGAACAGGACACCTGAAGCTTGTTAGTGTGAAAGTGCCCCTCTGGTAACAATCTTTGTGAATTCAAAATGATGCAACATTTCGAGCGAAAATGTTTTCAGATGGAGATGCAAATGCAGAGTGTAGAATACATAGTTGTATTATTCAAATAACTCTGAATATTTTGCATACTTTCTCCCATTTCACAGGGAGGTGAAACCCTTTTGGGGACATCCCTGCAGAGTTGACATACAAGGCTCGGTCAGGCATCACATATTTTAAAGGCATTCATTTGTTTTACTGTTGCTGTCTCTATTGCATGCAGGGTGATGAAAACTTGTTTTTTTTTTCTGTGTAGATGGGTCACTAGTTACATAAAAAAGAAAGCCCAGAAAAGGAATAAAAAAAAAGCTTTTCTAAATCCCAAACTCCTAATTAGCATAGCAAAAATGTAACCACGGTAATAAATACAGTTCTACATTTTAAGGCGGTCAGTAACTAGTAACACATTTGCACACACCTCCAGTTACCAGATTACAGTTTTCTAACTTTTGCTGTTTGACCAAAAATAGCTGGAAGTAAAGCCTGCAGGGATTTGTTCTGGGTCCACAAGGTAAATAAATAATGACTCTTTTACATTTTCTCTCCTCTGTACTCAACCTTTCAGTTTAGCTTTACCATCTCCTCCTGGAGCCACTGAGCACACGCTGAGGCAGCATCACCCCCACAAATAGCAGCACACAAGATGATATTTTAATGGATTTGAATATTTGCAGAAGAAAGGACCTTTCCCCAACACTGACTGCTCTTAAAATGTTAAAATAATGTTAGACTACCATTTGGAAACAGTTTTATTAAAAACTGGCAACTGATGAACAAATCATGTGTAAAAAGAATGATTAATTAAAGTCTTAACATCTTTATCCATATCTTGAAAAAGACTATACATGACACTGAGTTCATAAAACCAAAAAAGGGGAGATGCCTTCAGCAGCATTATGATAGAAATATGGAAAAAATTTTTTTTTAATAGAATCTCAATCGATAACAATCCAGTCAAGGTTTGATCAATGCCTATATATTCCATTTTTTTTTTCTAATATAAAAAGCACAATTTTTTTATTAAATTTTTTTTTCTAAAAATGTGTATAAAAAAAAAAAAAAAACCCTTCCTCACCCATCCCGGGTGGTCTTCCTCCAAGCTTTATTAGAGGCCTGGGAGCTTACCTCCTTTGGAGGCATTTCCCACTTTGACCCTAAGGTTTCCAGCCCATACTCTGCACAGATGCTCCAGTACACTAAGCCAGCCACTTTGTATTGGCACTCCATGTAAGCTTTCCCTGCCAGCATCTTATACCTTGCAGTTCTGTGCTGGATTGTTTCAGGGGCCTCTTTGCAAAGTCTACACCTGGGGTCTTGTCTGGTATGGCAGATCTGGGCCCTGTAATGATCTTGGAAATTATGACTGGCTTAATGGTTCATTCTATCCCCCTGTTCATCTCATCCAACTGCTCCTGCCTCTTTTTAAGCTGCTTCCTCCAGTCATCAGTGCCAGGTTATTCAAGCCGTTGGTGAGAGTTCTCTAGCGTACCCAGTTTGTTATGCTGATTGCCTGATCATGAGCAGTTTCTGCCTTTGGACCTCTGAGCCTCCCTGCCATTGTTCTGATCTGTTTGCCTGACCCGTCTTTGGACTCCTGCTGGATCCCGGCTTGGATTTCCCCTTGGTACATCTTTGCATCTCTAATCTTATGGTTTGGACTCCTGTTTACTTCATTGACACCGGCTTATGCTTTGCCCTCTGGAAACTCCTGCTTTCCCTTGTCTGCTTGCTTCTGCTCGTAAGCCAGTTTAGTAGCCTTCTTGGCTTCAGCTCCTGGAACTCTCTGGGCGACATCCACCGCATTGTGTGGGAAATCATCCGGCTGGATTCCACTCCTTTCTCTGGGCCCGGACTGAACTTTAAACTAGGTTAGTGACATTCTCATTCAGATTTATGTGGTCACTAACCTGTGTTTTCCCCTCTACAGAGATTCTGGCATTTTTCATCTTTGCTACTAAGTCACAGGTCCAACGTGTTGTCAAACGCTATTGCAAATCCCATCAGGATGTCTGCCTGAAATTCTGGGTCCAAAATTCTGACTTCTGACATATACATATATGTAGACAACATTTAGTATTAGCATGGTTGGTTCAGGTTTAATAAAAGAGAAAAGTATGAAAGTTGTAGATTATTAGTTAAGTTCTTTTCAGAAGAATATAAAACTTTGTCTGAAAAGTTCATTAAGACTGCAAAGATACAGTGCACTATGAAGCATGGTGGCTAAGGCTTCATGATATGGGGTTTGTCATAGTATGAAATCTGGCCTGTTTGTAATTTAGAGTTAATCCCAGATTAGTCTGCCTATATCAAAATATGTTAGCTAAACTCTAAAAATCTGTGTTTCAACAAGCCAAATACCCCAAACCCCATTTTAACATCTTAGTCAATATATACTTTTATTAGATAGAAAACTTGTGGAATACTGTACATCACAAATGCTGTTTCTGAAGCAAAACAGAGGAATTGTGCAGGGCAGCATAATCCTTTTAGGCTGGAGAACCAGTCTGCAGGTGCCAAACGTTAATCAACACAAAGTAATAATAGTGCAAATCCCCCAAAAAAGTTAAGTTCAAGTTTAATCTAAGCATTTTTTTTTCTGGTGATGCAGTAAATGTTTAAAATTGAACAAACAACCATAATTTTTTTTTATGGTTTTTCCAAAATATAATATTCTCTTAGCCACTCTTTCTCTAGATTTAGATAAAAAAGGGACATTTATCTGTAAGTTTTAGTTACATTGCAGTGTTCCAAAGCATTA